GGACCTATTGTCCACCCCCGGCCCCCACCCCTGAGCGGTGGGTTGGGGCCCTAAAATGAACAATAAGGGGGGACCTATTGTCCACCCCCCGCCCCCACCCCTGCGCGGGCCAAATAAAAAACCATCATCAAGTTCTTTGGAATTTTCCCATGCTGTGTAAAATGACACAGAGCACTGTGATTGGATGGATTTCAAGCCATCCAATCACAGTGCTCTGTGTCATTTTACACAGCGTGGGAAAGTTCTTTGGAATTTTCCCACGCTGTGTAAAATGACAAAGAGCACTGTGATTGGATGGATTTCAAGCAATCCAATCACAGTGCTCTGTGTCATTTTACACAGCGTGGGAAAGTTCTTTAGAATTTTCCCACGCTGTGTAAAATGACACAGAGCACTCTGATTGGCTTAAATCCACCAATCACAGTGTTCTTAGCCTAATTGCAGGGCGTGGCAAGGCTTTATAAGCCTTCCCCCGCCCTGCAGAGCTCAGTCTGCACGGAGCCCTCCATGGGTGAAGATGGATTATTTTTTTGCGCTGGGGTTTTTTCTTTTTCGTCTTGTTTTTTTTTTTGCGCTCTGGATTTTTTTTTTTTTTTAGTTCGATGGTTATGATGGTTTTTTATTTGGCCTTTTTTGGGGCTGAAAAATGAAGATTTGAGAAAAAAGACGTAGAATGGTAAGTTTACTTTTATTTTACAGGTTAGTTATTTTATTCCCCCCTCACTATTTTTTAGGGTGAGGGGGGTAGGTAGGAACTTTTTATTTGGGGGGGGTGACTAGGGGCTTGGGGACCCCTAGTCACCTTGGGGGGGGGAAATTTACTTAAGGCCCACACCCGCCGCCCAGGGGTGGGGGCCGGGGGGGAAGGACAGTAGGTCCCCCCCCTCATTATCTTTATGGCCCCCACCCGCCGCCCAGGGGTGGGGCCGGGGGGGGAGGACAGTAGGTCCCCCCCCTCATTATCTTTATGGCCCCCACCCGCCGCCCAGGGTTGGGGGACGGAGGGTGGACAGTAGGTCCCCCCTATTCTCAATATGGCCCCCACCGCCTTGGCGCAGGGTGGGGCGGAAGGCAGTAGGTCCCCCCCCTCATTATCAATATGGCCCCCCACCGCCCGGCGCGGGGGTGGGGGCGAAAACAATAGGTCCCCCCCTTATTTTTCATTTTAGGGCCCCCACCCACCGCTCAGGGGTGGGGGCCGGGGGGGGACAATAGGTCCCCCCTTATTTTTCATTTTAGGGCCCCCACCCACCGCTCAGGGGTGGGGGCGGGGTGGGGACAATAGGTCCCCCCCTTATTGTTCATTTTAGGGCCCCCACCCACCGCTCAGGGGTGGGGGCCGGGGGGGACAATAGGTCCACCACTTATTGTTATTAGGGCCGCCGGGGGGGACAACAATAGGTCCCCCCCTCATTATCTTTATGGCCCCCACCCGCCGCCCAGGGGTGGGGGCCGGGGGGGGGAGGAGAGTAGGTCTCCTCCCCCCCCTTCAACCAGTAAGAGTCCCTGTGGGTTTTAAAATTCGCCTGCCCATTGAAGTCTATGGCGGTTCGCCAGGTTCGCCAGGTTCGCCCGGTTCGCGAACATTTGCGGAAGTTCGCGTTCGCCGTTCGCGAACCTAAAATTTCATGTTCGCGATATCACTAGTCAGATAATTGAAAACTGCAGTGGCATGCTCTATACAAAATAACCACTCCATTAAAGGAACTCTCCACTGCCCAAATACAAAATAATTTTAATAAAACAACACTGTTTAGTAGATACATTCTAAATGAAAACTTGCATGCATTTAATTATTCATTTTTTATTGAGGTTATAACTAAACAATGCTAGCAGTTTTCTTGTATGTTGCATTTATTATTATTATTATTATGTTATTATTTATACAGCGCCAACAAATTCCACAGAGCTTTACAGTGGGTGGACGAACATACATGTAGTTGTAACCAGACAAGTTGGACACAGAGGGGTTGATGGCCCTGCTAAATGAGCTTACATGCTAGAGGGAGTGCGGCAAAGTGACACAAAAGGTAAGGATAGTATTAGACTAATGACAGTTGCAAGAGAGGAATCAGTCGGGAGCTATTAACAGTTTAATTGATAAGCTTTTATGAAGAAAAAATCCTTCTTGACCCCAGAATAGCAGTCAGATTTATCCTTGGATCATGAAGTTATTACCCTACAAGTAATTAACTTTTGCAGAGGAAAGAGCCAAGCTGTATGAGTACAGCATAAATTTATAGTGGAGAAAGTCAGACGCACAGTGAGACTTTCTCCAACAGAGTTCGGCAGTTGTGGAGCATTTTGGA